ACAGACACGAGAGCGGTTGCATAAGCCCGCTTTAATGCTTTTTTAAAAGCAGAAGGGCGGGCTAAAAATGGGAGCTCCAGCTGCAGAAGAAAAATGTGACCTATCACACATTAAGAGGAACGCAAGCATGTGGAGGGTAGAAGATGACTTGCATTGACGGCCACGTCGAGGTCCCACTGCTCGGGGGGAGGGGGGCACGCCGAACCCGCCAGAATGGTGTCCTCGGCCCTTAGGGCGGCGGCGAGAGGGCAGTCCTGGAACAAACAGAAAGTTATGAGACACACGCACCTCGAGAAGCTGTAGCACCCGCCCCTGCTCACCACACATACACCGCCCGTACACCGCCAGCTCCAGGGCCTCGACCCTGGCGCTGCCCTTCATGCCGGCCCTGCGCCACCTTGACACACATGCTCACACACACTTACATCTGTCTCCTCCACGGTGGCGGTGGTGGAGAGCTCGAGGTCCTTCGACACGTTATCCGCCGCGTTGTCGGACGATGCCTCTAGCATGACTGAGCAATTGCAACCGCTCATGTCGTGTGTTGCCCCGCAGCACATCTGATTTGCATTGCCTAGCTCTGATCCGAATGTAGAGTCGTTGCTAGCCCCGCACATCTCCACTGCCTCGCCGACTGCCGATGCGCATGATGATGGTGGCGTTCCTGGCTGGCCCCCCCCACCGGGTGAACAGGGCGGTGTAGCAGGGGTGTAGCTAACGCCGGAGACATCAAAATCGGCGCTCTTGGCGTTGCACTCAGTGCAGTTGCTGCAGCTGCTGCTGCTGATGATGATGCATTGGCTGCATTTGCAGCTGCTACTGCTGCAGGATTCTTCCATCTCTGGGCAGGGCGGCGGCGTGGTTGGCTCGGCCTCCCCGGCCTCCTCCACCTCCATGCTTTCTTCCTTGGTTGACTCCTGCAAAAATTAAAACGTTTACGGGCCGTCCCCCTAGCTGCGAGCCAAGCGCGACCCGGGCGCGCACGGCGGGAGGGGAGAGAGTCATCGTAACAACTGCCGGCTCGGTGCGCTCAGCGCGCCACGCGGCAATGGACGCTGCGTGCGAAACGAAGGGAATGACAAACTGTTCAGCGTTGTACAACAAACAGCGCGTTCGCGTTGGAACAGCGCGTTCGCGTCTGAACAGAACGTTCAAACGCAAACGAAATACACATCGCAGGCATAAAAGACTCATGACGAAACGCGTTTATGGGGAAAAATAAGAAGCAAGAGTGATGCAATGAATTTTGGTTTTTTCGAACGATTTTAAGCGAATTAACAACAGCACCTTAACGAGAGCACAGCAGAGGAAAAGACACCCGTGTGTCACACACTTCAACGATCTCAAATATTAACATTCATGAGTCGTCATGGACCGGGAGGTTGAGGTTAGGTAACAAACACAGACTCTAACATTGTTTAAGACGAAAAATTAGAAATATCACTCACCAAAAACTCGTAGGTGCTGTCGCCTACACACAACTGCATAACGTCTTCATCTGACTCCATTTTTAACGTTTTCAATCAATCGTTTTCACGCTAGAAGATTTACGACAACACTACCGCTCACTGGCCGACTCTGGCTTACGACTGAAGCCACGGAGACGCTGAGGGCGCGGGGCGCAGCATGCAGCGCGCTCTACACCCCCACCCCGAAAACGATCGGCGCGGTAAAAGTCGAAAACTAGCTATGGTCGGGCACCACAATATGGCTGATCAAGGCGTTTGCCGGCGCGCGGCGCACCCGGACGGCGTCGTACTCCACCACGTTCACGTACTGCATCACCATGAACACCACATCGTCAGGCAGCTGGCCCGGTCGCGCGGCGTGTTTGCGACGGGATGGGTGGGTGATCGCAGGAGAATCTTGTAGAAGTACATGGGCACGTACTCGTTCTCGTCGCGCTGGCAGTGTCATGTTCATCTCTGTTATTGGCTGAGCGATTAGCGAAGCCTATTACTCCAGTGATGATCAAAAAGTTTCGCGTCTGTCTGTCTGTGTGTGTCTGTGTGTTTGTCTGTGCGCACGATATCTCGAGAACGAATTGAGCTAGCGACCTGGGATTTTCAGGTTCGTTTTGTGTCATAAAAAGACAGATCGAGTTCGAAAAAGAGCATTCTAGCTCAAAAATTTGATTTAAAAAAAATCAGAAACCACAGGTCCCCAAAATGACGATTTTTAAAAATATTTCTTTTACTGTTTTTTAAGGGGTAACTCATCAAAGTAGAGCCCTCCGGGCGAAAATTTCGTCCATTTGGCTCTATCTTCAACCGTTTAGGCACCAGATGGAGTTTTCTTCACGAAAATGACCTCAAAACATTTTAATGTTTTTTCTCAGATATTTGATGGTCTGCGGCGGGGTAACTCGTTAAAAAAAAAAAAAAACGAGGAACAAAATTTGTGACTTTTGGGGCCGAATGCTTCTTACGACTCTGCCTTTTGCCCGACTCGGGTGTCAGCGCCGCAGGCCTAGGTAGATGTATGCCAGGCGCGTCGCAACTTAACAGTGTTTCGTGAGATATCGCGAAGCCTGTTACGCGAGACGTGGTCTGGCGTACATCTACCTAGTAACTGTGAAATGATCTGACCTTCACTGAGCCAATCCAGTGTTTCTAGGATCTCCGGAGTGATGGCCACCTCGCGGGCGGCCCCGGTTGGACCCGAGACGCGTTCTAACTGGTGCATGGCCACGGCGGCGACCTCACCCGGGCACACACGTTCTAACCGGTGCTCGCCGGCGGCCACCTCGCGGACTGCATGTTGAGACCCGTTGCTGGGGCAGAACCAGAGGGCGGGTGGCCCTGGGCGGACTCCTTGACGGCGACCTCGCGGTGCGTTAGGCCCTTAGGTTGTGTTACCCCTTGTCACGATGAGGAATACAAAATGGCCGACAAGGGTACCCATGTCCGAATAAGGCGTAAAAAACGGCCGACAAGAGGGGCAGGTTGGGCCATGTCCGAATAAGGCATAAAAATGGCAGCTGTCCGAATAAGGCATACATACTACTGATGTGAAGGGGGCCCAGTGTTTCAAAGACCTTACTGTTGGCAGTGCGCGTGCGACGCCAGGCGAGACCCAAATTTTGTTCTCCATCTAGAGAGTCAAAGTGGCCTGCTGTGTCTTCGTACCATAGGCGCTGCTGGAGATGAGTGTTTTTCGCACTTTTATCATAATTAAGTTTCGCCTCTATGTAAGCCCTCGTCATGCTGGACTGTGAAATGACAATTAAGACTGACGTCTATTTGTTACCATTGTGCGTGTGCACCGTAATTCACTAAAGTTGCATCACTGTTATCGGCCGCCGTAATGGGTGATCCATCACCGTTTACAATTTGTTCTTTTTTGTACAAGAGAAAGAGACCGGGGTCCGGATAGACGTGACCCACGCCTGGCACCTCAATTTCTACAGTGCCTATCGAGGCTGCTTGAAGTCGAGTAAAACTCATGATCCTGACTTTTTCTCTTCGCCTGTTTGAGTGACGTAGTCAACCCAAAGGTCTAGATCTGAGGGCAAAGCCTCAGCAGATGATGCGTGCATGAAACCCATTAGGAAAAGTAGACTGGAGGAGAGGTCCTCTTACGCGTTTTGCAGGTAGAATGAACCTTCTTCACTACCTTGCGTCTTTTTATAGCCCCTGACCCACTCATGGCGCTGGCCGCCTTGCGTTTAAGGTTTTGAATGGCTGCACACGCGTGTCGTTTCGCACTACGTGAAAGATTATCGCCACTGGCTACATCGGCTAGGATGTGACTGCCGGCACGGGCTGCCTCTTTTCCAACAGCAACTGCGCCGCTTTTAAGAACGGGGAGAACCGAACGAAAGAGACCGCCGAGCCAGGAGCCGATAGCGTGGCCTTTCTGATATGTACTGCCAACATAATATTGACCGCCACCGGCCTGTTTCAGATAATACTGAGAAATATGGTTCTGATGCGCAACCATTTTTTAAAAAATTTATGGGAGCTGTCTGAAGTGAACCAATAAGGTTGACGTTCCGAAATCAAATGGTACATAGCGCCCCGCATGGTCTCTTATATAGATCTCAACTGTGTCGAATGAGCGCGTGCGGAGATCAAAACAGAGGGGGTGGTCAAAGTGTGCGACAGACATGCTGCCATATTGTGCTTTGATGTCGACGGCGACCGTGCGAAGCAGTGGTGCTCGTGTGTGACCAATAATTTGATCTGACAAAATGTCCATGTAGACAAACATCTGGGCGGGGACACCGAGACTTATGTCAATCGGTTTAACTCCCGAAAATTTTTCATTAGTAGGATACGGACCAGGTTGTTCTAGCCTTTGTTGGAGTGATAGGCGGGGCGAAAAATGCAGTTTGGTTTTTTCCCCCATATTGAATGGAAAAAGTGTAATCCTCTGATCAGAGAGATGTTCAAAGTATGTTTTGCTTCCGACTTCATTGTTCTCAAAGGTATGGAGTGAATCGTCAAAGCATATTAGAAAATCAGTGATCGAACTGTAAGAGCCGGGCTTGACAGCTACAGTGTCAACGATACTGTCAGACACTACAGTAATTTCGTTCTCTCCCTCTACGACCTGTGCTATTGTGTTGGGGTAGTGGAGCTCTATGAGGGCTGCCTGCCATTGGCCATGCAGTTCCATGCGCTGAGAAAGCTCAGTTTTAAAATGTGAAGTTTTGTTGTCCGGGCCCGGTACGGTGCTAAGAACTGGTGACAGAAGTCACCAGTCCTAAAAATCCAGCGGCGCGTGAGGCTTGCCGCCGACATGGGAGGATGACATTGCCGCACCCAACCAAGATGAGGTAGCAGGGACCCCACGCGCGTTACACTTAAACCAATTGATTCTGGCACATCGTTGACTTTTTGAACAAAAACTCTGCATAGACACTAAGAGTATTGTCTAATAAAGCATATCGCGTATAATTAAATATTTCTTTTCGTCAAAATTCGACTCTAATGCAAAAGAATGATTTTTGTACGAGACGCTGCTATCGTGACGCCATCTAGCGGCAGTTCCTAGCGACACGCAAATCCTTTAGAATAAGTGATTTGCCGGCGGTGGGCAGCAAAGGCAGTCCTTCCTGCCCTAACAGTAAGTTTACACGAAAAGGTACTAGTATTTAGTCTTTCGGTGTCGGCAACTGCACATTACAAAACCAAATGGTACAATATTTTGTAAACTGATGTCAAACGCCATCTAGCGGCAGTTCCTAGCGACACGCA